AGAATTTAATTTTCATGAGAAATTGCTGGTGCAGTTTTATAAAAGAGAGTAATTAAGTAATGACTTTTAATAGTTAAAGTGCAGCTATTAACTACTTAGCATTAATTTCCTATTCATTTTCAGTTTTTCAATGCTTAAGTTTCCTTCTTTCTTTGCAAAAATAATTAATTGAAAAATATCAGATATAGTGACAAACATATTCTTCATTCCTTCTTACACTCATAAATCATGCGAATATAGATTTACAAATTCTAAATTCAGAAAAAAGTATTTCTGTGATGTTGTCATTATGCGATGATTTGTAAACAGCTTTACTTTTTATCACAGTATTTTCTATGATGATATTTTAAAACTGTGCTGTTTTTGAACTGCCTTATTATCGATGATGATGTTATAGAACTGTGATGTTTTCTCCTTGCTTTCCTTTCTCGTACAATGTTTTGGCTTTTGTATTCCACAGTTGTTCTGCTCCATTATATTTTCATCCTCGGTGTTTTCAGTGACTAAATGATTATGGAAATTTTGCAGTATCTCAGAAAAAGGACAAGATAATGTGTACAGAACAGCAATGAATCTCCTTACCGGATAAAAATGGTTACGCTAATTAGAGAATTTAGTAAAGCATTGTGGAAAATAATATTGGGTCAATTATCGGGAACTATTTTAACTATTTTTCCAAGTGGCATATTTTGGTACTTTAATGTGCATTTCCTTAAAAATGTATATATTAACTCTATAATGTTCATACTTGAGTATTATGTGAGTGACTTTGAAATTGATATGGCTGAAATATGCATAAAGCAAGAATTACTGAGTTTATTTTCAAAGCAAGCAATATACAGATTTTAATTTTCTTCAGCTAAAAAAAAAAGTTATTATTATGTACTGTTTACCTCAAAATAAAATAATCATGTAGAGGTTTATACTACATAGGTTAAATGTAAGGTAATGCTTCTACACTCATAAATAGTTGACTGATGGCAGCATCGACCCATGGCTTAAACTCAGAGCCTGGACTTCTTTCATTTGGTGGGTAAAACTGCAATTCCAGTCATAACCCCAAATAAGATGAGCTCTGTTATTTGAAATTATTATTTAACTGTTATTAACTCAATTTATTAATTTTGATTTATTTAATATTAATGTAATTTTTATATTTCATTATTTCTTGAAGTTCATTTACCTTTCCTAATGGCTTTCGAAAGGCTTCAGCACTTGTAATTTTGTAAATTAAGCTCTGGATCCGTAACTAATAATGATATGTTGTGTAGACTCTTTAGGGGTGATATACAGTCAAAAGTCGTTAATCCGGACTCGTCGGGACTTCGGCGATTCCGGATAATCGATTTTTCCGGATTATAGATCATCAGTTTAAATCTGGTAAGATGGCATGCATAAATTATAAAATTAAAAATATGAAACCGTAATTTATGAAATAAAGAACAATTATGATCTAAAGGGTATCGAAATTACAAAAAAAAAGAGCTTAATATTTATTGTTTCTTTATTAAACATTTCTTTCAATGTAATTTGAAGTGTTCGTTTTTTATAATTCTCTTTAATTCCAGACAAATTTTTGTTCTACAAAGTTCTGCTGTCAGATTGCTGTGTCGAAATACCGACTAATTATCAATCGAAATATTTGTTTCAAAACCTCTGTCATTCTCGCTATCGGAAGCAAATATAATGACGAGGAATTTGATTTAAATCCTATCAAGACGGAGTACATTGAGATGAAATACTACATTTAGTAGGAATAAGCCAAATAAAATAAGAAATCTGCCCTGAAGAAAGGATAGTGCTGACAGATCAACTTCCAATTCATTGCGCGCGTGGGTTAAGATAAACAAAGTTAGATAAACAAGGATAGCCTTTCCATTTTTGCAGCGTTCCACTTTTTGTTTAATGGACTTCAAACATACTGTCGCTTTGTAGATCCTTTACATATTAGTAAATATATATCAGAAATTCTATTGACATAATCGAAAGTTCAAGCTTATTTTATAAATTGCTTTAACAGTCTGCAAAAAATAATAAGCCGAATCCAATTCGAAGATTAAGGAACAATGCAATCTGCAACATTAACTGAATTAGATAATTTTGGCTTAGCTTATACCGTCTGTTATACATTAAACGAGCATTCGTAAACTATTTTGCACACGCTTATTCGCAGCCGTAAAGGTCTTACGCGCACGCAGAAATTTTGAAGCTTTGGGATCCGGATTATGGGTGACCGAATTAACGACTTTTGACTGTATTGTTTAGGTAGCGGAAAGTAATGGTAATGAATGGTTTGCAAGTGTACACTAAGAAATGGAAACCTGTGCAGCTCTTCCATCATTGTGATTTAAATAGTGTACTGAGGAAATTCTTGTAAGAATGCAAGATATTTATAATAATTGTGTTAAAATGAACTCTATATATTACTGGGCCAGGTAATGCAAAACTAGTTATATGGGAACATCTGAAAAACAAAATATTGATAATACAGTCAAAAGTCGTTAATCCGGACTCGTCGGGACTTCGGCGATTCCGGATTATCGATTTTTCCGGATTATAGATCATCAGTTTAAATCTGTAAGATGGCTGCAGAAATTATAAATTAAAATATGAAACCGTTAATTTATAAAAAAGACAATTATGATTTAAGGGTATCAATTTACAAAAAAGCTTAATATTTATTTGTTTACTTATTATAATTTCTTTCAATGTACTTGTTTACGTTGCTTCGTTTTATGTGATAATATTTCTCTTTATTCTATAAACAGACATAATTTCTTTTTCTTACAAGTTCGCTGTTCAAGTCTAAATTGCTGTGTCGAGAATACGACTAATTTGTCAATCGAAATTTTTTTTTTCAATAACCTCTGTCACTTTCTTCGCATCGGAAGGAATTTAATGACGAGGAATTTGATTTAAATCATATCAAAGACGGAGTACATCGAGATGAATACTACTTTAGTAAGGAATTATAAGCCAATAAAATAAAATCTCTGCCCTGAAGATAGGTTCCAATTCATTGCGCGCCGCGGCGCGCAATGAATTGGGATTTATTGAATTGGGATTATTGAATTGAATTGCGATGAATGGTGCGCGCAATTTTATTTATTTATTTAAAGTTGCTAATGGATTTATATCTAGAAGAGCTGAGATTTCTAATACAGTTACCAAGCTGGCATTTTTAATGATCTTTTCACTAATGATTTCAAATCTATATATTTTTTTTATTATTATTCAAATGAAAAGTTTTTGTTCATTTGTTTCCAAAATAACAGGAAATGAACAGATCAACTTCCAATTCATTGCGCGCCGCGGCGTTAAAGATAAACAAAGTTTAGATAAACAAACGTTAAATTTTAAATAAACAAAGGATATGCCTTTATCCAACTAACTTGTCAATCGAAACTTTTTCGTTTTCACTAACCTCTCTGTCACGTTCTTCATGTCTTTATCCATTTTTTTGCAGCAGTTCCACTTTTTATTTGATGGACATCGAAACATACTTTCGTTTTCTAGATACTTTGGGAGCTCCAGCATCGGAAATTCTATTTGACATAATCGAAAGTTCAAGCTTACTTTTATGAAATTGCTTTACAGTCTGCAAAAATAATAAGCGGATCCAATTCGAAGATCAAGGAAAAGCAATCACAACATAACGAAATAGATAATTAGATAATTTTAGCTTTACCAGTCCGTTATACATTAAACGCGCCGCAAAAACGTATTCTGCGCTGCGCAGACGATATGTGCAGTGTAATGTTTTGGCACACGCGTAAAACTTATTGCGTCAACGCAGGCATGCGCGAATTTTATATTGAGGTCCGGATTAGGACATCCGGATTATGGGTGTCCGAATTAACGACTTTTGACTGTATTAGTAAATGTTAAGTTTATGTGAAATGAGTTTACAAACTAATTAAGGACTATTGCAAAATCATCTAGTTAGAAGTCATTGGCAGAGCTGGCACAGGAGCTTATAGATCATACCATTGGGGGGGGGGCTTTCTTTGGATATCAAAATATTTATGCATATTGTTTTTTTTTTTTTTTTTTTTTTTTTTGTTTTCTGTTGATTCCTGAAATTGGCTTAAAAATTCTCCAAGAACTTTTTTTGGAACTAAAGGGAAGCTTTTCTTTACCATAGTATGGGAGATGATAAAATGTGAATGCATTGTCGCATGACTAAATTATGTGTATTCATCTGATATTGATACTAATACATCATTGAGAAAAAGGAGTTCAAATTCCAGTCTTTATCTGGAAATATTATGGCTAATTTGTTACATCTCGGTGCATGTTGACTACCTCTAATACAATAAGTCACAATTAGCATATTTTATACACCTGCACATCTTTTATCTAGATGGCAGGTGTGATGCTACTATCTGTTAAGCATGTGTATACTTTTAGAGCATGGTGGCTATATTAGCCATGGGATGGTATTCATGCTCTCTGTATTTAAGAGATTACATTACTATGATTAGATTTAGGGTTACTATTCTGTTTGCTTTTTCTTGTCCTGCTATTTAGAATTCAGATAGTCATTAAAAAAATGAAAGATTTCATTTTTGTGAAAATTAATTCTGTTTGTTAAAAACTGAAATTGGGTGGACAGGCCAGCAAATGACCGAATGTTGCAGAGCATTTGTCGTTCAATCCATTTTCTATTCCAACTGATTCAATGAGCTAGCTGGCTGCATGAGCTTTCATTTCGTTCAATTTTTTTTTTTTTCCCCTATGTCTAACCTAAATATTAGGAGGGTTTCTTAGTAGACCCCTTCCCATATGCAGATTGCCGTAGAGTCGTTAAACTAGGTTAAGTGCTGTTGTGTCAGGAAAAGGCCAGGAAACTTTTTCTAGTTTTTCTGTGTATTTTCAAAAACTACATACTAAAATATTGTGTCTTTGTATTTAGTTCCTGAGAATATTTTGAAAAAGTGTCTCATGCTTTAGAGGCTATGCTGTATTTCCAAATAAAATTTAGTCTATTTTTATTTCAGATACAGTGAGGATTCTCTAGGAAATTCGACACATGAAAATGGAGAGAAGAATGGACAGGTATTTAAAATCATACATATCCAAAGTACATATATCTATGTGTATTTAAATATTTTTAAACATAAGAGTAATTAGCACTTCACTTGATAACACTAATATACATTAGAATGTATGCATAATATAAATATCAATAAATTGCAATTAGTAGTTAGTTTCAAGTTAGCTTTCTTTGTGCTGAAGTAAACTTCCATATGATGAAAGCCTCCCCTTCCCTCCTACTGATGAAGAAAAATCATTTAATGTAATTAAAAGGCAGTTAAATTTTTCCCACATTTGCCAGTTGAACATTATCTTGCATGAAGCAGAAGAGTAAAGATCAAACCCTAAACTTCATGTGGTTAGTTTTACTCTAACTATTTGAAGATGTATCTTTTATATGAAGATGCAGCTTAAAATTAGGTTTCATCATTTTGGTGATAAGGGTAGATCAAAATAAACAGGATTTTTAAGAAATAAATATTTTAAAATGCACAAATAGTTATCAGCATTTAACTTAAGTCAAAACTCTCTAGAGCAGTTTTTTTTAGAAAGTCTAATTTTTTTTTTTTTCCAATATATTTTAAAAACATTACTCTAAACTAGATGTAACCATATTAAGCCTTGAAAGATAATAGAAAAATGTGAATGCCAATAATTATCCTTGGTGAGATCATCCATATTGTATTTTGATGCATTCTTTATATATAAAATAAGAGTTTCTTTGACATCATAAATTAAATTTTATGAATGTGTTTTAAGTCTTGTGGCTCTTGAATTTCATGAATAAGCAGAGCAAGTATCTGTGGGCTGTGTGAGCTCGTTTTGGTGAAACGTCAAGGATATTGTTTTGTAAAGCTGAATTGCCAAAATATTCTGATATCTAAATGGCATTTATTATTATTTTTTTCTTATTTATTTATTTCTGAAATTGGCATGGTGTAAAAGTTCAGACTAATAATCTTGTGGGCTGTTCCCATTAAATCTGTATATTTGTTCATCTAAACCTGAATGTGGTGAAAAAGCAGAAGTTTTTCTCCAAGAGCTAATTATGATTGTATGACATAATTTGAAATCTAAATTCATTGTGTTGAAGATTTACATATTAATATTGCATACATTATATATTAATATTGCAAAAGTATTAAAAAAATTTTCCACCTAATTTGTTTTAACACTAAAACTTTTTTTACTAAATGTTAATCAAATAATGCAGTGCAAAGGCTGAGCATCCAGTATCCTGAATGATCTAAAATCCAGATCACCAGCAACTTTTTTTTGTATACTTTACATATGCACATTTGGTATATTTTCATCAGCAAAATGTTTAGGATTAGGGAGACATTTGGCAGCAGAGACTGCACTGGGCCATAAAATGTCTAGTGTCAACATTTAAGAAATAAAGATAACACACGAAAGGTTAAAAAAAGTCCTTTTGGGTGTAATGTAAAATCCGAACACTTTCAGATTTTTTTTTTGGTCATTTTGGTAAATTTTAATTCTTTTAAGATCATAAATACTTCATTATTTCATATTTTTAATTTTACAGTTTCTATATATCTTGCTAGATTTTAACTGACGATCTAATATCCATAAAAATCCCAAATTTTGAATTGCTGATGTACTGATGAATCTGGATCTCAGACTTTGTACTGTATTCATAAAAGGCTTCATTTATTAAAGCATATCTTAAATTTTACCCAGTCTTGCTTCAGTTTTCTATAAAAATGTTTTGGGTAAGCAGGTACTCCTTGTGTGTCTTTATAATTATGCAACCATTCAATCTCATATCCATGAAAGCAAAATTTTAATTTACACTTGAGCAAGGATCCATTTTAAAGATTACTTTTTACGTACAAAAAGTTATGCTTGAAGGTTGAGGGGGATGCATACAAACTTTTTTTTTTTTTTTTTTTTGATTTCTTATTCCTATGTAACCTTAAATTTATTGGGAAACCAATAATCTTTTACTTTTAAAGCTAAACTTTCTTTTTACATTTTAATTGGTTTTTCACAGCAAACTAGTTACATTTATAGAATTTATAGAAGCTTTCCTTGTGTGGATGCTCATCAAATACTGTTTTGATTAGTGTTAGTGAGAGTTTTTGGAGGGTTGCTTCTTCAGTTAGATTCTTACTTCATTTGTAAAATATTTTCTATAAATAGCTTACCATCTAGTCTATGCAGGCTCAAAGGATTAATTCTAGATATTTCAGAAAAACTTTTTATATCGGCTACATTTTCTTCTTCTTCCAAAATCCATTCATCTGATACTGGTTCACGAGAAGATTCACTATAACTGCTCGATAGACGTCTTGTGCGTCTTCGAAACCTTGGTTTTATATTACAATTGTCATCATTTTCTCGTTCAATATTGTCTTCATCACCTTCGCTTTGTATTTCATTGTAATTGTCAATTTCAGGATCAGTAAACAATTCTTCTTCAGATATCTCAAAGTCACTTTCGCTATCACTATCATAAAATATATTCCTTGTTTTTGACATAATGGGGCAATGTATCGCAAATAATGTTCACCGAAATACTGTAATTTTTTTTCTATTATGACTGATACAAGCTACAATGAAATGAACAGAATTGTGCCTAACCTCAAATAACGTTTTAGACACGTCATCCGCTCCTAGGGAAAACAAATGAATGACGTCTCTCAGACATCAAATGTCCCAAGGGGTTAAGTCTGATTTTTCAGATATACTATGACTGGAGATGAAGCTTGGTGTTATTCTGACAAACCCGGGACAAAATGGTAATCACGTGTTTCGTAGGAAGATACATTATAGCCACAACAATTTCATTTTCAGAAATCTCAATTTGAGACCATGTTGGAGACTTTTTTATTTAATTGGAGAGGAATAAATTCATGAAGAATTTGTTCCTTAGGACAGACATTGAACTCCACATTTTAGAAAGTCATAATAGAAGTCATTGCACAGGCCTGAAAAGTCTGAGACAAAGAACTGGTTTTTGATGCACAGCTGTGCACTAAATATCCAGTTCCTAGTAAAGAAAAGTTGCAGCTTTCAACCATCCTCCTTATTCACCAGATTTAGTGCCTGCAGCCTAATTTCTCTTCCCTAAAGTGAAATCATAATAGTTTTAAAAATCAGACTTGAACAAAATTCCAAAAGATGAGTTGCAAAAAGGAGTCAATATTTGAATGTGTGACGTGTTGACATTCAAGAACTGTAAATTAAACCTTAAATAAAAACACTGTGTTCTTCAACTTTCAGTTTTGTCTTATGTGTTATAGGAGGAATTAGAAGTCCCTATGCCCGGGCAAAATGAACACAGACTTCAATTTGCATATGCTCTATGGTTTTCTCATCGTCCTGGAGGAAAGCTGATCAGTATGCAACCGTATGACCAAAATTTGAAGATGGTGGGTGTTTTCAGTACGGTAAGTAATTTTTGTAATGTATTTTAGTTTTGTATATTTGTTATATACTTTATATTAGTGCGTAGCCTCTTTCAGGTATGTTATCAAAGTTTTAGAAGTCTGTAATAATTTGTTTAACATCTGGACCAGAATTGTTGAAGATGTTCAGTGTCTATGTTGGACATAAAAATTTTAAATATTCATGAAATTATCTGAATATGCTATGCTGAAACAGGTTAATGAAATTTTGGAAAGGCCTTGAATTTTCCTTGTCAGTAGTTTTAATATTTGATTCACATGCTTTTTAATTTGATTATATTCTGACTGTAGTAATATGTTATAAGGCAAATGCAAAAACTGATTTCTGTTCATTTGATATAAAGTTTATCTTCAGCCATTCCCTGGGAAAGCATAAAGAAGCATATTGTATTTTCTTCTGAGGTAATGCATTTAGTATGGTTAATGTACATAAAAGGTCTAAAATTCTGGGGGACAGGAAAAGGAGAAATAATTTCCTTATTGCATATATGCTGGGTAAAGATTAATAAAATTTTAATTTATATATGGGCCTTGTTAAAAAAGTTACAAAAATATTTCCGTAGTTGAATTGTAACAGTAAACGCAAATTCATCTTTATGTAATAAAAATTATCCAAGATACTTCTAATTGCAATTTTGAAAATCTACATAGTGAACCAGAAGTCATAAGACTTTTTAAAAAATCATAAAAAAATAAGAAAGTTGTAATATGAAAATGCAGTTCACAACTAAATTCTAAATAAAATTGAATGTAAATAATTCGGAGTTTTCTTTGGGTGGGGGGATGGGATGTTCAGAATTTTGCCAGTGGATAGTGCTGCACATTCATTTCTTTCAAGACACATTTAAATGCTAATGAGCTATCTTAAAAGCCATACAATTCCTTCATTACAGAGTGTTCTTGTCCTTCACCATAAAAATCACATTCAGCAAATGTGTAATCACACTGATAAGTCGAGTAGAGTGTGTGTAGAAGTGACTTTGCAGTAGATAGCAGCTTTTACTTTTGTTAGAGGTAGATGGCCTGCTGCTGCAGTCTTGAGACTTTAAGTAACCATACAACCAAAAATCTACATGTATTTAATATAGCAAATGAGGAGATAGGCAGTATGGTAGGAATGACTAATAAATTGGTTGAAATTAAAATGCTCTTGTGAAGAACTGCTTCACAATGGCTGCTACATAAAAGAAGCACCATTTTGGATAGACATGCCAGTCACCATGAGATTCCGTTCTTGCAAATGCAGTAGCATTTTCAGGTTAGTACCCATCTTTTCAAGCTTGCTTCCTCCCCCCCCCAAAGTGCAATTGATGATAGTTAAATTACACTGCACAGTAAGTTACTGCACGTGTAATAACTCTTTTATGTATGCACGCAGATTGTTAGTTGCCTATATTTGACAGTTACAGGTATTAATATTTCCATTCAACTGAAAATATGTTTCATCTATCTACAGGACATTCAAATCTACTGTGAATCAGTCATAAGCAGTGTCAGTGCCTACGTGTGGATGCCATGTATTGATATTACTTGAATGCAATTTGAGGATACAATTGCTATATGTCATGTGAGATCTGCAGTGCCTGTAAATTTAGTAAACTTTTGGTTTTTTGCAATTTTCCAAGTGCTGCTGAAGCTAGTAATTGATTGAGCTACCAGGCTCTCCAACCCTGTTTCTACATCGCTTCCGCTGGATTCTGCCACTGAGGCTCTGAACATACAAATTCCCATTTTCCTCAAAATGTCGTGCAAGAGTTAAAGCACTGTCACAGATATTGGGCTTGACGTATTTTCATCTGCTTTTGCATATGATACTCTCATAAAGCTGAAACAGCTAATTCTCTGATCAGGTAGAACATTTTCACCAGCAGTGTCTTTATTAACCAAATACACAATAATTCATATTTAAGGCATAAACCAGTGTAAAAAACTAAAAGTTTTGCAGATCAATAACTTCTTTCAAAAGCAATCTCATTTCCATAGCTATGCTTTCTTAGCACAGTGCTATCTACCTGCAAACTTCTATTCAAGTTGCACAAATACAGTCTCTTTGACACACAGTACATAGAAGTATATCGGTAATTTAATAATTTGTATGCAGCCAACAGTAGAAATGTGAAAATTCCTTCTTAAGAGTTGCAAAAATAACAATTTGATATGGACCTCATGTGATATAGGGCCCACCAGCGGCCGAGCGGTAAAATCACTGAACACTGGTAGTTTGGTCCGAGGTTCGAATCCCGCGAACGGGCTGGCTGCATGGGTGTTTTCGTGGTTTTCCCCATGTGTAACATGTATACGAGCCAGTTTCCCTTAGAAAGTCCTCCACGAAGGCATCCCTCCTCTTAGGCAGATAGCCCTTGAGGCTTTGCCATAATCACACACACACACATGTGATATAGTCAATTATTGCTAGTTCATCCATAACTTTGAAATAAGGTCTAATTTCCCATGGTATGTTTTTAAGTTTTCTTGAACCTTTAGTCTCAATCATTGCAGGTACTCAACACTGCACTAATTAGCATTTCAGCTTATTGAGAGGCCTTTTTAAATTCCATTTCTGTTATAGAATGTATATTTTGGATAATTTTGGTAACTATTAATGTTTCATATTCTTCATTTGCTTCTGTAAGAAATAATCGTGTTATGCACTCAGCTATAGCATCCTGGTTTCTTGGTGTATTAATAATTTATTGAACCAGGAGTTATTGTTTCCAGGAGTCCCCAAAGCCAGCAGTGCCATTCCTCTACATCCCATGCATGAGTTAATGCTTCTTTTTCATATATATTTCTTGCTTACATAAATCAGTGTTCTGGTTGAGGAGATGAAAATTAGTTCAATTCATTCCAAATCAGTTTGGGTTAATTCTGCTTCCAAAGCTTACTATGAAGATTTAGTTGTAATATAAAGTGGTCAAAAATTGCTCTTGGTCAAAAATCAATGTATCACTATTTTTAAGGATTAAATTCTCTGTCTGTTCAAAGCTTTTTTTAGTTTCTACAGATCATTTGGAAATAGTCTTTTTTTTTTTTTTTTTTTTTTTTTTTTTTTATGCAAGATGATATCTTAAAGATTCTATCATTGTAGCAAAATTTAGTACAAATTTGTTGTAGAAGAGGAACTGTAATTGCTCATCATTAGGTTCAAGCCCTTTAGCTGATAATGTAGTAACGTAAAAGTTTGCATTTTTTCTCCTGAATTGCCATTTATTGGTACATTAAATACCTACAACAATTCATCCAAGAAAATAATATTTTTAAATTGTCATATTTTTGCTGTTTTTTGTTGCTTAGTTTTGTCATTCAGATAGCATTATATTTTTCTGAAGAGCATTAAGAGCCGAACATATGTTTAAAAGAATACAGCAGACCTGAAATAACCGAAATAGGTTTTAGTTTGCTAGAAATTTACTAGGATGTGAGGTCTCTACACTATTCATTCAGTTTTATTTGATATTAAGCACTTTTAGGTCTAATTTAAAAAATTTCCACTTCCTTAAAATAAGCATATCATCTATAAGTGGCAGAGGAAAACAATCAAGTATTATATATTGGTGAGAAATGAAAGGAACAGCTGTCAACGTTTATGTAACTTGAATGACTTTACACCTAAGAACATGGAACGTGCCTGGTATATCTGCAAAATGTAGAACTGCATATTTCTGCAGAAATAAATTTAAATAAGAACATAAGAAATGTGATGTAAAGTAGAGTAGGAGAAGATTGCTATTATAACGTATAAGAGACATAGAAAAAATTAATAAGCAATGTGATCAGCCCTTGCTAAAATGCAAGCTTTAGAGTGATTTTCCATGTTGTGTGTTAGTTTCCAGGAGTTCCTACAGTAGCAAAGTGTTGTTACATCTTTTAAGTACCACAGAGACAGTGAAAGAGTATAAAAGACCCTTTTATTTGTCTAAGATAAAATTTAACAGGTGGTACCACTCATGCTTACAGAAACCAACAATTATGGCTCAAGTCAAAGGGAATGGGTGTACTAAAATGAAAACAAGTTAGTAAGCTGCACAGATAGAATGACATACAAGCTAATAGCTGCACAAATAGAATGGCATGCAAGCTGGCTCTGACCCAAGGTCAGTGTAACAAGCCTAATGGCGAGAATAATGCAACGTGGCAGAATACTAGCAAGACAGTCAAAGTAGAAGTGTGGCAGAACATGCTGTGATTCTGCCCTCTAAAACCTTTCAACCTGATTATAATATTGTGTGCTAGAAATTTACATTCTGGTAGGAAAATCTAAATTAAGTAGATAAGAAAGATGATTAACATAAAATAACTTAGAAATTAAACATAAAATCTACATTCAATGCTGAAGTTTATGCTTATGTAAGATCTCCATGGCCTCTGCAATCTAATTCTTCATTAGGTACAAGTAAGTCTCCACTGCTGGTAAGTGCTTCATTACCATAAAAGATAAGCAAAGTTGTTTATTTTTCTAATTGATCTGGGTTAAAATTAATCATACACATTTCTTCCGATATAACTGAAATATCTGAGCCAGTGTCTACCAGTATTTGTAAAGGATACTTTGTGCAATTCACAACAATTGTTACCAAACAGTAGAGATAATCCCATTATATTGAATACTGAAATGCAAATTTTAATGAAAATATATTTACTTCACATCTGTAACTTTATTAATTTAATGAAGGGTTTTCCCCCTTGGGGTTTTGTTAAAGACAAAGTGTTCATGCCTCAATTTCCTCAGGACTTGCAGCAGCTGAAGCAGCAAATAACTGAAGTGCTCAAATCATTAATGAAGGATATTATCATGAGTGTAGTAGGATCTGGAATACCGCACAAATAGTATTTGCTGTGTCATCGAGGGGCACACATAGAACATCTATAGAAACTTGGATAACTGTAGTTTCACTACAAATTCGATTTATCAAAATAAAGTAATTAACAGTGTTCATATGCGTGATTTCTTTTTGTCCCTTTCAATATGAAACACCCTGTAAATGGCCATTCAACTCAGTTTCCTGTATTACCCTCTTATGTATATATATCATTTAGTACATTTATTTTCAAAATAAAACAAATTTCAGTGTAATTAATGTAGATATATATTTTAGGTATTATCAGTTTGTTGACATACTGTACCCAAGTAACATGTCATTTGCTTTCATCCATAAAAATTTACCATCTGGCCGTAACTAAGCATTTTCAAACTATCTAATCCAGGTTAAATAAGTTCTCCTTAGTTCCCCAGCTAATTTCCATATTGGAAGCTATCAAAATGCTGCCATTTTTATCAAACTGCAAACTACATGCAGAATAATCTATAGTTAGGCTTAATGTAAATATAACACAAAATACCCCCAGTATAATCCATCCTCATAGTCAAAAAATGGGTAGAATGGACAGCTTTGATATGTGTCATGTAAACACATCTGAATTATCAACAGAATATAACAACTAAAAGACACAGTCACATCTCTTCAACTAAAATTAATTTCAGTATAAAAGTTTATGTTCATGCTAGAAACAGAAATCGAACTAAAAATACTTTCAGTCACAAAAGTTTCCAATTTTGTGAGTCCCACCCCTTTTTTAATTTTGGTGTGTTATGTATTGGATGCATATGCTTAATTAGAGTTGCTAACCTTCTGTCTCGAGCATTTTAAGTTCTTATATAGTATTTTCATTCTTAATATCATGTTTAATATGTTGTGCTATTTTTCCTTTATTTCAGGTAGAACAGTTTTGGAATTTATATGGGCATTTAATAAGACCATCAGAAATGGCAGTTCATAGTGATTTTCACCTTTTTAAGCATGGTATAAAGCCTATGTGGGAAGTAAGTGTGTTATTGTCTATTTTGGTAGTTGTTACTTATAGTCTACTGGAGTGTGTGTGGTCCCCCCCCCTAAGTTTGTCGTTATTTATTGGAGTACATTAAAGGTTTTTAGAAAATTTTTAGGTCAGCATCTGTTTGGAGTAAAGATTGATTTTTATAATTGAATTTTGTATTATACAGCTTGTTGCTAAGTATGACTATGAAATTACACAATTATGATATGCAATTCGAGATACTTTAACTCTTCAGCAGCTTACCGGCAACCAAGTGGTGAAATAAGATATTTAGTAGGCGTGCAACTGGGGCAAAACCAAGAAAATTAAATGTAATGTCATTCGACCACTAGTACTAGCCAGAAACAAGTAAAAGATTAATACTTCCAGCTGATTAATTCCTCTTAAAATATGCAAACCTGTAATGATCGTTCTTACCCTTTAAAGTTATCTCATGAGATACAGAAAGTAATGCTAATAGGAGTATGGAAGGAGAGGAAAGTGACTTTTGCACATTATAATGAAAATTGGTGAGCTATGATGAACTAATTAATTACTAAAAGTGCTAAATAAATATGAAGCTTTTACTAAAAATTGTATTCTTAGTAGCATTTGTATTTAATAGGAATTTCGCTAAATAAAATATTTAAAAAAAAGGAAGAAATAATAAAATAGAGGAATAATTAATTTTGGATTTTTATGAAAAAATTAGTTTTTTATTGTATTCTTTCTGAATATTTTTGTAGTGATATTGCTGGATGTATGACTAAGTTTCAAAGCATTTTTTATGTGCTGTTGTTAACTTAGAAAACAAATATTCCCCTAATGTTTGCATCCTGTGTCATTTCCTTGTCCAGAGTAATAAAAATCGCAGAAGTTGGCTTAATATTTAGATGTACTTTAACATTATCAGATAAAAGATGGTAACTTGCAGGGCATTTACTAATCGCCACATTCATTAGAGTTGTGCTTACGTATTTTTTCACCTGAGGCAAAGAGGTAAATTCCTGCTTATGTATAACAATGTAAGGTGTTCAGCCATTTGATAAACTCCTGCCAAATAAGAAATATACACAATAAAATGTAAGCTGTATACCTACATTTTGATATTTATTTAAGGTAACTATTTCAAATCACACCATAACTCTTGCAATAATATTTATAATCAGCTTTATATTATTCAGAAAATGACACATGCCATGAATTATAGTTTTGAAAGGAAAAGCATAAATTTTCTTCATGATAAATTACATGACATTGGAATATTATAAGGAATAATGTTGTGAATATAAAAAGTATTGCAGTAATTTTTCAAGCACTTTTAATAACGTAATTAAGTTTTCTGAAGTTACATTAGACACTAGCAATGGTAATCGGTAACATTGAAAATATTCTTAATTCCATATTTGAATGTGAATAACTAAGCTATATTTCTGAATTATTTTTAAAAGATCTGAGCATGTAGTTGCTTTAGTGCCTGGAATTATAGAAATAGCATGGTTTCTTAAAACTAGATATTTCTGGCTGAATGTCTGCATCATTTTATTGCATTCATGTATTTGATTGAATTTGTGTCATTTATATCATTTGCTGGTATGTTTAAGTGCTGACTTATAAATGTTGCTTTTAAATTACTTAAATTCAACATTTTCACAAGTTAGAAAATGAAAATGGTAGCACATTTTGTTTAATTTTTCCTGTTTCTATTTTAGTTGCAATATTAAAATATCTAATGCTTACTTAATTTCTAATATGAAAGAAATGTTTTTCTGGAAATTTCATTTTTATGTCAATTAAATCTTTATTTTTAAACTCATCTTTTAAATAAAAGCTGTAAAGGCACATGCTTATGAGAGGGTGATATCTTTCTTTACAAAGACATATCTCTATTAAGTATGTAGCTTTATTATGCTTCTTCTAGTATTAAATTCCATGCAGATAACATGCATAAAAATTTTAAATTGTTTTACTTTAAAATTCTGCTATTTTCATCTCGCTGTAATAATTTCATTATTTGATGCCATATCTTTCAATAACCAATGTAAATTGGTTACTTTAAGATACAATTTGACAGCATTTGTTCCTGGTACCCATTATATATCTGTCAGTTAATTACTTTGAAAACAAGAACAATGTTAAAAGATACAAGAATAGCGCACTTAATTTATTGATGACTAGTAGGCAATAATAAGAGCTCTTTGGAGAAAATTCTGCAGCTTGTGTTGTTCTACAATGGAAAAATCTCATACTGTAATACAATTTGATATTGTATAAAAATTTTGCTGTAAATTTCTGCCACAGTTAATTATTAAAACTTGAAGTCCATAGCAACTGTTTAATTTACACAGTCCTGTGTAGCTTGTAATACTTTAAATGGAACATAATGTTCATGCTGAAACTATGTGGCTTTTCTAAAACTATCTTAACATGTTTCCATTGCTTGTTCCAATTCTGTTAAGTACAATGAATTCTTCATTTTATCTTGCTTCACCTTTAACATATAAACAGATAATTCCTTCTAAAATGTTAAGTAAATCTTGCAGTTTTCATTTTAAGAGATTCCTGATGTGGGAAAAAAGAACTAAATAATTCTGTGTATCTGGTTTATCCATTACGTTCGTGGCCACAAGTGACTGAGTAGGCAACATTGGAACCTTGCTGTGATACAGTTCGTGGTAAAGTTTCTTAAGCATGTCTTCAGAATTGTTCCATGTATGATGAATTTCGATGAAACTCATTTTATTAAAGCACTATATAATTGAATAATAAATAAGCCATGATGCAAAAATAAGTTGTGCCCTTTCCATTCAAAGACTTAATATACAGTAATGCAAGGAAACATTTCCTGAGTTTTTATGAGAATAATTAGTCTATCCCAAAGTGAAGATTCTAAATGTGGAAACTGAAGAGAAAACTATAACTTAAAAAGGGATGCAAAAGTTGCGCTTTCATCCTGTAAGCCGTTCAGAAGGAACAGTTCTCATGTACAGTGCCTACTGAAATAATTGTAATCCAACTAACTATGCAGTTCTGGCAAAAATAAAGTATGAATACAAGAAAGCAAACCACGTGTTTCATTCCATTGACAGTTTTTGTGGGGGGGGGAAGTGTTTGATAATACATTACATATTATGATCAAAACTCTTCTGATTTGAATGGATCCTAATTATTAGGTTTACTTGAATGAACTTGAGGCTTTTCTCCATAAAGACATATCCTTTCAGGCAGACAGCCTTCATGTGTTTTGCTGCCATAACAAACCATAACCTTGCTCAGTTAATGAACTAAGGAATACATTTTATGGCAACGTAAGTGCATCATATGTTCTAGTTGAAATTAAAGAAAGTAGGGAATCATTTATATTGGCAACATGGTACTTTCTGTGCTAGTTTTGTTTCAGCTCAGTATATTAAAGTAAACAAGCACAAATTAACTTCAATGTGTTACTTCCAACAACAAATTTTAATGTTAGGAAACAATACTGTGAAACTTCAACATTTTTTAGGATAAATGAATATTATTAATCCTTCTTTTAGTTCAGTTGGATATTTTATAACCTAAAATTCTTTTGATATTTTTTAAGTGCTCCAGAATGGAAAGTTAAAATCGTAATCTTTTTAATGAATTTTTTAAGTTTATTTTACCAATTTATAATGATAACTAATTTTTAAGCTTCTGCTCTCCTAATTATTCACCTCACTCATGCGTGTCTGAGGTATGGAATTCATTATGAGTTTCATCAAGAAAAAGCATGTTTATTAATTACTTCTGTTTTTTAAAAGACTTGATTTGAGAAGGGCATGTGAGTTTTGATTTCAGTGTTAACAATATAGAGCATATTGGGAGTCCTTCAAAAGGACTGCCCTGCAGAGCAGTCATTACTGAATAAAAAATTGTTCTGAAATGTAAAAATAACTTGCTAAACAACTTGGAGTAACTCAGTGAACTAATTTTTTTATCCAGTTCCCCCCCCCTTCCAAATTCCTGATCCTCTTGAGCTTTGTTTCACTCGAGATTAAGAGCTCTGAAGAGAGTCTGTCAGGTACAAGGATCAGGAGGTGAACGAATTTCGATGAAACTCATTTTATTAAAGCACTATATAATTGAATAATAAATAAGCCATGATGCAAAATAAGTTGTGCCCTTTCCATTCAAAGACTTAATATACAGTAATGCAAGGAAACATTTCCTGAGTTTTTATGAGAATAATTAGTCTATCCCAAAGTGAAGATTCTAAATGTGGAAACTGAAGAGAAAACTATAACTTAAAAAGGGATGCAAAAGTTGCGCTTTCATCCTGTAAGCCGTTCAGAAGGAACAGTTCTCATGTACAGTGCCTTTGGAAGACTGCTTTTCAGCCCATCTGAAGTCAGCGTGGGCAAACGAATCTAAAAAATGTGTCCCATATTATTACAGGGACTGGGGCTTAGAATAATTTTGGTCAGACCCATTAAATTGAAGCATTACGTACCTGAATGATAAATAAGCGATGGCAGTATCTGATTTTATTAACCACTGAAATTAATAATAAGGGGTAGGCAGTGTAATAATTGGGTAAAATAGAGCATTATTAAATCTAGTGATCTAAAGTTTAATACAAGGTATGTCCTGGAAGTACTGTTTTATTCTTCTGCCCCCACTGTGCTTCTAACAGCACTCTAAACATATACAGTAGTCTTCCTTGTCCCTTGCCTTTCCATTGATGCTATTACTGTTGATATGTATTGTGTGTTCAGTTGTAATGATCATTAAAAAGATTTTTAGACAATTGAAGAACCTGCTGTTATAATTTCTTGAATGTCAGGAACATAAAGCCTACTGAAATTCTGTTGCTGAAATTGCAAGTTGCTGAGATTTATAGTGAAAGTGCAGTGAACAGTAGTATGGCGAGAAATCCCCCCGGAGGTTGACTGGAGGAACCCCTGGCATACTGGCTAAGACCTGTACTTGGACTTGGCTCCTGGGGTACATAATCACTGGGAAACAGATGCTGACTTTGCATTCTCTTTGTTTGGTGCCCAGTTGCTTTTGACTTGTGTTTTATATTGCTGACTTTTAATTTTGTCACTCGGGGTTGACTGCAGGGTCACGCCCCTGTAGCCATCAATACCGTGTTAAGAGCTCTCAATAGCCTAGGTCAGGGAATTTCTTCTCTCTAGTGTTCTGTAATTACAATAAGAAGGTGGGTTAAAATATTCAATGAAGGTGAACAAATGTGTGTAACAAAGTACGGAGCAGGTGGCCTTCTGTTGTCAATGGCAATTTAGTAAGGCAGGTTGAAAAACTTCGAGGGAATAGATGCTTTACTCTCTCAACACTTTCTGATGAATTTCCTGAAATTTCAAGAATTGTTTTGTGCAAAACTGCTTTCCAGCCTCTTCGGTTACTGTAAGTTATGTGGCCATTGGGTACCAAAGATGGTTATAAATGTCCACAAAGCTAAACAACTTGGCAGTGCTGGGATATTCCTTACCCAATACACAGTAATGAAGAAGAGTCATTTTTAAGCCTGGTAAATCACTGATGAGGAAACTTTGGTTTGTTATGTACTCCAGAATTGAAACAACAGTCAGTGGAATGGATGCACACAGAATTTCCCAAAAAAGCAAAAATTCGAAACATAAATGTCGACCCCCAAAAACCGTGTGGAGTATAGTTTGGGATATAAAAGCGATTCTACTTCGATGAATTTCTTTTTAGAGGTGAACCCATCAATCTTGTGCAATACTGTGAGACTGAAACAACTGGCATGTAATTCAAAATGAATGGAGAGGAATGCATATTCAAGGAATAGTCTTGCTTCTTGAAAATGCTTGGGTCTATGCTGTTGGTGTCACAAACACAGACTGAATTCAGTTGGCAATAGTCTAATCATCCTTTCTGCAGCCCAGGCATAGCACTGCCTGACTATCATTTGAAGTAAGGATGGAGGGGGGGAATGCTTTGAAGATATGCAGAAAAATAGCTCAAGACCTTTTGTATAAAAATAAATATTTGTACTTTTTCCAAAATTGAGCAGACTTCCAAGCCATGCCTTGTGTAATGATTAATGCTTATAATGCAAAATCAGTTCTAAAAAAATTTAAATGATTCTGAGAAAATGTTCTTGCTTGAGTTTTGTATGGTAGCTTATTTTAAGTAACATGACGTCTGTTTTTGTAGATATCTGTTTTCAGATTTCCTGTTCTTTCTGATTTTAGGATGAAGCAAATAAAGCTGGTGGCAAGTGGATTGTTAGGCTAAAAAAGGGACTTGCTTCGCGTTGTTGGGAAGATCTTATTTTGGCAATTTTAGGTGAGCAGTTTATGGTTGGTGAAGAAATATGTGGTGCAGTTGTTTCTGTTCGTTTTCAGGTAAGTTTAGGTTTCTATAAAAAAAAGTGCTGGTACTTGACCTATAAATTAAAAAAAAAAAAAGAAAGAAAAGAAGATGTAAAGGGCTATCCTTGCAGTGTAAAACATCCAGACTGACCAAAAAAATTAGCTGAATTTTTTTAAAAATAATTAGGAATAATTCTTGAGATATATAGTATTGAAAACTCTAAACTTGTTTTTAATATACTAGCTTCCAAAACGTAAGCACACAATTCAAATTAGCAATTTTCAAAAACATAATTTGAGTGGTTGAAAATCACTGTAGATGCTGATAACAGTATACAAGTACTATATTACAGCCAAATGCCAGCATTCTAAGGGATTTGAGAAGGTTTATTTAAATGCTGATATGAAGTATGTATAACTTTCATAAGCTAATTTTTTATTATATTCTTATTTCTATGGCAGAAAGAAGCTGAATGGCAAATAGTGAGTGCTGATGTGTTGTCAGATTGATGCAGGGCAGTCAATCGAAAATGTTGCTCTTTGTCATTGATTATTCACTAATTTCTCAAATGTGGAAGTAATTCTGAACAAGACATATGCCCACTTGACCAAGGGTTACCACCCCTTCTGAAGATCAGAACATTGCAATAGTAGGCAAGAGGAATTGACATGTGATCTCCAGAACTGCATTCATGATCGCTGTGTCACTTGGTAAAACAATATTTGCCAGTACTGTACACCGAAGGCTTCACATGAAAGAACATTATTTTATGAGTACTTTATTTTTTTTAATTTTGAACTTTATTTTTTTTATGAGTACCAAGTATACTAATCACTAAGTACTAAATATTAAGTGTAATAAAATTCCCCTAATCGCCCAGTCAGGAGAGGCAAGATTAAAAAAGCATCATCAACATCTCAATTAGACTATCTCAGATCGTCACAACATCCTGTTAAACAGACAAAAACAGACAAGTCTACATTTTCATGCAATCAGATAAGCTTGTAAGGGTCTTCAAATAAAGAGGTTCACCGAATCAATCCCAGAATATCATTGAACATCACACATTCAGAGATGGCAGCAGCATCATGGTATGAGGTGGAATTTCAATTGGATGCTGCACCTTGCCGTACATCTTTAACCCCTTCCATCTTGTTTTTCGTCGAAATTAGGCAATGAGATTTCACCTTCTGTTTCTCGTGCATGTGATATTTCTGGGCTGGAGTATTCAAAAGGAATACATCAGTTGATTTCAAACAATCCATTTCTTACACCTGGGAAATTTTTTGTTTCTTAGATTACGTACCAAATGACAGTATCCTTGATTTCAAGCTAATACAATTTCCAGAAATTAAAAATGATGACATATATTGTTCAAGCACCTGTTTTTAAACAATTTTCTTGAATAAAAAGAGGGGCACTTTTTTAAACTGGTTTTTAAAAATTGTGTGTATTCCCCCAACCTTAACCTATTGAAAATCTTTACGATCCCCTCAGGTGCACTATCTCTACCCATTTACCTCCTCCCACCAGTCTCAGACAACTGGAAAATATCCTGATAGAGGAAAAGCCATTGTTAGCATCTGCAATTGTTGATCACCTTATTGAAAGCATTGGCAATCATTAAAATGTGTATGAAGGTCCGAGGTGGTCACATACCTTATTTATGTGATTTTTGTCTGTTTCTAGATTTAAACATCAATTTGTGAATGACCTAAGTATGGCACCGTTGTATAATTTACAGAAATTAAATATTTGTTTTCATCTTTGTACATAATGCTTGTTTTCTTTCATGCATAAACACATTTGCTACCTTTATGTGCAATTTGGAGTTATTCAAAGCTTTAGTTTTCCATTTTTATTGATTTCACCATTATGTGCTTAACTTTTGGAAGCCATTGTCTAAAGACCCTGAACACTACAGACTGAGCTTAAATACACTGTTGCGTTTCTCTCCTTTTAAATAAAAAATAATATGTGTAATGAATTAATGCAATATTTTAATGTATCATTAGGTTTTATTCTGTAATTTTGCAGATGGTATAAATATTAATAAAGCATACATTTTGATTAAAATGTTAGTGTAATAATTTTTAAATAGCTCAGTTTGTGACACTGGTAAACATATTTTAGTATTTGCATTCTTTAAAGTTTCTTATGTTTCAAGGCTTTGTAGTAGCTTCCTGTTTTGCCAAGTGAGGATTTTCTTTGCAAAGTGGCAGTGTACTTGTAACTGTTAAAAAGGTAAGCATGGATGAAAAATCAATAAGAAGTTTGTTAGATCAGTAAGAAAATGTATTTCATTGTAGGATTAAATAAAATGCCTTCCCGTTTTATTGTGTTAATATAATGATGAGCAATATGGTTGGTTCTTGTTATCTGTTTTCCAGGTGCTTTGGTGTATAACGCACAAAGTGCAGTAGTTGTAATTACTTGCCAACTAAAAATTAATATTTCTATTTATTTGTTTGCTTATATTATTATTAGAATTACTTCTGATTACTTAGTTATTATGAGTTTTACAAATTTGTGCACGTTGCTGACAGATTTATTTGGTCAACAACTATATCATATTTCTAGTTATTCTCTTTTTGTAAACCATGGTTATATGTGTATACCAGAATCAAAAATCTCATTGTGTTAATTCTTGCAGCTGCTGAAAATCTTATTTTCAATACTCAGTGATTTACACTCAATGTATTTGTAAAGTGCTAGAGAATTAAATAATGGAAAAAGACATTTCTGATTGCAGTGATACGTAAACTGCATTGGCACAAGCTGAACTTTATTTATGCTTTACGTGGTGCACGTTATGAAAATAAAGTTAGTTTAAACAGTTTAAAAATCTGATAAATCACTCAGAAGGTTGTGTCATAACCTCCAAAACAAACCTGGATTTGCACCACTTTCAGGAAGAATAAAACAAATAATTTGGAAGGGATTTAATTGCTGTTGTCCATAAAAATATTTTGATTTTACAATCACGATTAGAAGTGTTCATTTTCTGTTCCATGTAAACTTTGCCAAGTATCCGTATGCTTGCTGTTCTTGAGACTTATCTCACTTGTCTGGGCGAAGAAGAACAAGTGTGTAAGTGTTATTGTAGCCAAGGGATGCATTATTGTGGTTGTCAATGACACATGCTGTATGCACCTTATTAGTGACAGTACAATTTTGCCTGTCTTTGTATGAAGGTTGTAGGAGAATCTCCATTGAATGGCTCCAATGGTCCCCCACCACCACCATTCTTTGCATATTACCAAACCATTCAAGAAAGCTTACCATATATATTAAGTACCACCATGTTGCAAAGACCCTATACACATACATACAAGTCTTCTATGAAATTTGAACCATTACTATGAAAGCCAGCATTGCTATGCTGACCAGGACAACCGTTTGCTTCCTTGGTCATTGCAATTTCTAGATCTGTTTCCATTTGAGCATTTGTGACATGTAATTAGCCATCATCTGAATGCCTTCCATCAGACTAAAATAAAGAATGAACTGGGGACAATTAGGGAGATTATATGGGCATCTGTACATCACAATTCTATGATTATTGATTCAGTATTACAAAGACTTGCTGATGGAGATGGTTCTACTTCCTGTCCATCACCTTGTAATAGTGAGTCATTGTAGTTATTCGGATTAAAATCACTATTTGAGAAATGGATTTTATAGCTGCATGTCAGTTTTCATTACGTTCTGCATTACTTCTTCACTGCTTTGTATTTTTTATGTCCTTTAAATTGTATTATATTTATTTTCTTTGACCTGCATGGTTTCTCAATAGCAAATCTGTGGTGATTCAATGCACCGATCTTGATATCACCTTTAAAACTTTCAATGTATGTGCTTTCTTTTCAGCTTTAGTGGTATATACATTATTTACATTTATATGGTCTGCATATTTATTGTACCAGTATTACTTTATGGGGAATTTTGTCTATCTGAGGCCTGGAAATATTCAGAGCCATTTTGTGTATGTATATGTTGTAAATTTATCGTGATTACATCTCTGCTTACAAGTAAGAAGATTCATAGTTATGCTTTTTCATAGGGCAGAAAAAGCTTGTAATTAGATTAATGATGACTTTCATCTGTGAAATAATCAGCAGATGAAGCACATTTGTTAATTTTGTTTGAGCTTCTATTGGTTTTTCATACCATAAGAACAGCATACTGTATCTAAATACTGAAAATTATTTTGTTTTAAATTTTGTATTTTAAATTTGAGCAAACTTATACTTTGATTATTGCTACTTCTTACTTATAGGCTCTTTGTTTTCTTTTATGGTATTAATATCAATAGTTCTGCCCATCTTTGTTGTCTGCCTACCTAAGTTGGTTTAATAGAAAATTGGGATCGAAATCAGGCAGATATATCTCATGAACTTTGTATTAAAAAATCTAGTACCTTCAGAAAATTTTGCATTACGTTTTTGGTGTAGCATCACGTTTTTGATATCACTTTCTTTTTCAAGAAGAAAAGTTTCTTTTCAGTTGGCGCAGAAGTTAATAATAGCACCTTGGAAATAGTAGCTTTTTTCTGAACTGCTGCATTTTTTGTCCTTTTGGAAGTTTAAGTTGGCAAGCTTCTAAATTGCAAACTATTTAGTCACTAATTTTCACCATATTGTGTAAACTTAAAGTATTACAGTTCCATGTTTCTTAACTATATATACTTCTCCAGACTAATCTTTGGAATTTTACAGGAAGATATAATATCAGTATGGAATAAAACTGCCAGTGACCAGCATACCACAATTCGAATTCGAGATACACTGAAGAGAGTTTTAAACCTCCCACCTAATACAATAATGGAATACAAAACTCATAACAACAGTTTAAGGTATTATATTAAATAGTTGCGGAGTATTGTGAAATTCAGTGTATAGAATTGAAATTCATGTATACGTTAATCCTTTTTTTTTTTTTTTTTTTTTTTTTTTTTTGTAGAGATAGGTCAAGTTTCCGCAATACTGATGTCTTTTTACACTGAAGAGAGAACGAAACTGAAACTGCTGATTTTTTACAAGAAAATGCCATGTATATTTTTAAGACCATAAAATTTTTAGATGCATTTCATTGTGTTAAATTGTTTTATTTTTACATGAAAATTAAAGTATAATTCCTGATATTTTGAACATGCATGAAGTTTACATATTTAATAATGAAAATAATTAGCAGCAGTGCCATAGTCTAGGCTTCATATTTCTTAACTGCTGTTTAGTGTTTTTTAAGATTATTTCACTGAAGTTTTCATAAAGTTATATAAAAGCTCTTACATTAATTATGAAACAGCATATAAATATTTCTCTTCTTCAAACTAGAAAACAGTATTGTTGGAACATCAGTTTTTTGGTTGTTTTATTTCCTGTTTTCAGTTTGAGAACTGTAAAGATAAAGTTATGGATGGAAATTTCAATGCAATATTTTTCAATCACTTTTGCTAACTTTTATGTGAGCATAAGTTTGTTAGCATATGATAGTAAATAAGTTTCTATAGTACAAATTCAGAGATCCAGATGTCCAATATCCGGAATGATCTAAAATCCAGACCTCAAAAAGTGACAACTTTTTTTTAGGATTTTTTTGTATACTTTACGAATGCACATTTGATTTGTTGTTCCCCAGAATAAAACATGTGGAGAGTCTTGATACTTAATTTCACTTCAGTAAATAAAATAATTCGTTATTGAGGAAACATTCATTTTAGCATAAATTTGTGTGATTGATAATTTGACTCTGTATCTGCATAACTGCTTGGCATACATCTCAAACCGAAACATACAAACATAATTGATTTTACACCTACTAATACTTTATACCCCTGATGCCAACCAGCTGAATCATTATTTGTAATATTTTTCTTTCATCATGGCATATTTATCCAACATATGACAACTTGATTAATGACTCATACATCGATACCTAATTCTTTTTTATATTAGTAATTGAATAACAAAGAGTGTGGTAGCTTTTTCTGTTGGCAATGATTACAGTTTTAAGTTAAATGCTCTAAGAAATGTTGATGAGAAAAAATATATAACAAAAATCTCTATGTACTGAAAATAGATTTTGTCAATGGTACTTATGGGCCAAAAAATTACATTCAGTGCTGTTTGAATTAAGAATAACTGATTTGTTATTCGTGGAAACCAAGAACTGGCGCCAGAGCTCGCATAGCTGCACCAGGCGGCAGAATTTAGGGGAGACAAAAGATCCGGAATTTAGAGAAGCACCAAGCAAAAACGTTAAGGGGTGGCAAAAATTTAGAATTACAGCAATTTTATGAAAATTAAAGTTTGAACTTTTGATTATGTCGAAAAGAGTTTCTAATTCTGGAGCTGCAGTGGAATCTATAAAGCAAAAGCATGTTTCAATGTCCATTAGATAAAAAGTGTAGTTGCTGCAAAAAATGCGAAGCACCTTAAACAAATTACATTGAAAGAAATGTTTAATAAAGTAAACAAATAAATATTAACTCTTTTTTTTTTTGTAAATTTCGATACCCTTTAGATCATAATTGTTCTTTATTTCATAAATTACGGTTTCATATTTTTAATTTTATAATTTCTGCATGCCATCTTACCAGATTTAAACTGATGATCTGTAATCCGGAAAAATCGATAATCCGGAATCTCTGAAGTCCCGACGAGTCCGGATTAACGACTTTGGACTGTAGTTTTAACTGTACTGATATGAATGTCAGTTTCTAAAATCTCCTGTATAATTTTCGGTTAAATTCTTGTAAATATTATAATGCAAGATTTATAATTAGTTATCAGATTTTTTAATGTGGTCTGCTTTTAGATATTACATCAGTTTTGTATTTTTATTCAGATCTTAAAGTGCTTGGTTTTAGTTTTATGTAATTACGCAAAGCCTCGAGGGTATCTGCCTAAAGTGAGGTTGCCTTTGTGGAGGACTTTCTAAGGAAACTAGCTATACACGTAACACATTGGAAACACGAAAACGCCCATGCAGCCAGCCCTTTACGGGATTCCAACCTTGCACAGACTTCCAATGTTCAGGGATTTTACCGCCGGCCGCTTGTAGGCGTCGATTTAAAAAGGTATAAATAGGAATATGTACTGCAATTTCTTTCAGTGCATATGTTAATGTATTTAAAATACAGTTTTTACATATATATGTGTATAGTTATTTATTTAAAACAGATTTGCGTGCCTTACCTCCTATGCTTCTGAAGTTACCAATGATATGTTGGTAATGAGGCCATGCAGCCAGTTTTCGCTGGATTCGAACCTCGGACCGCACTACCAGTTTTAGAGATTTTACTGCTTGGCCACTAGGGATCGATTTAAAAAGGCATAAATAGGAATGTGTACTGCAATTTCCTTCATGCATATGTAATATTTTATAATACATTTAGTTAGTATTATTTAAAACAGGTTTTGTAGTCTTAAATTTTTATGCTTTTGGAATTTACGAGAAATATGTTGTAATGAAGCCCATGCAGCAAGCCCCGATCGGGGATTCGAACCTCGGTCCGAACTATCGGTTCAGAGATTTTACCGCTCGGCCGCTAGTGGATCAATTTAAAAAGGGTATAAATAGAAACATGTACTGCAATTCTTTCACTGCATAGCTGATAATTGTATAATACATTATATATATGGATATAGTTATTATTAAAAAGGGTTTTGTACGCCTTAAATTTTATTTTTGGAGTTACCAGAAAATTTGGTAATGAGAAATATTTAGTAATGACAGATATATTGGTTATTAGAGATATGGGTATGCAGCCACCCGTTCGCGATATTCTGACCTCGGATGAACTACCAGTGTTCAGCGATTTACCTCACGGTCCGTGAGTAAAAAGGTTATAAATAGGAATATGTACTATAATTTCCTTTCAGCATATGTTGATATATTTAATAGTTATATATATATATATATTATAGTTATTTATTTATTTAAAACAAGTTTTGTTTGCCTTAAACGTTTTTGCATCTGGAAGTTCACCAGAGATATATTGGTAATGACAGATATATTGGGCTGAGAAATAAATGTCAAGTTGGTGCATTTGAGAGGTTACATATGCTATTTGTTCTGGTATTTTCACAAAATAGATAAATTTACATAGTTTTCAACAAAACAAATCAAATTCGATTCAATCGAAAGTTTGGATTTTCTGGTGTCATCAGGGCTGTAGTATGGTACCCACGTATCTATAATTGCACCTACTGACACGGAAGAATGCCAGAGTTCATTTATATAAACAGAAAAATCTTTCCATTATCTTAATATGCAGCTGTTATGCAATTTTTCCTTCCGATTTATAAAATATATATATATGTTTAGGTGTGTATATTTATATGCAAGATATGTTTTGTGATTTAACCTATAGTTATTTAATTCTTTTTATTTTCCTTCCCATTACTTTTGTTAAAAATTTCTTATATTTTTACTCACTAGTAAATCGTCTTTTAATGCATCCATCCAAAGCTTTCTGCTTATTGGTATTTTCGATACATGGTATATTTGTAGCTACGTGATAAGTATAATTCCTGAATAAATAAAATTATTGATATAATCATGGGCTGCTAAAAATTAAAAAAATTTTGATTAAAATTCAATAGGAATATTAAACACGCGTACGCGATGCTATATTTTAATGATTTGATTTAGGACACTGTTACATAACCTTTTAAGACAAAAAAATTTTAACCATAAAACTGTTAACAAATAGTTTACAAACATGTAACCTTTTAGAAAATTTCCATTTTGCAAAAGATCATACGTAAAATTATGCTTACGCTCTTCACATATCTGCAGTTTTGTGTAAAATATCCATTGACTCTTCCCATTTCTTTTTTCTGTGCTCTTTACTAAATGTTCTATCAAGTTTATCATTAACAGCTGCAGAGGTTTTCAAAAAATTTCACCATTTACTCCAACTGATTGGTAATTTTTTTTTTTTTTT